GTGCACGACAGAAGGCTCCCGCACGGGCAGAGGAAAACTCCCCGCCTCTGTCAGAGTGCAGACGCAGAACAGGAAAGTCCGAGCCGAAACTCTCTCTGAGCTGGAGACGAGCTGCGCGGATCCAGTCGATCAACACCTCAGTGACGTCACCCTTGCTGCGCAAGGGGAAGACTGTGGTGTAACGCGAGTAGTCGTCAACCACCAACAGGAAGTAACGCTCGTGACCCTGGCCACGGACGCGGGCGGGGCCCCACACGTCCATGTGAAGAGTCTGCAGGGGAGCCTCTGTCGGAGGAAACTCGGAGGAGTGAGGGGCGGCGCGCTGCCGCCCCTCGACGCAGGGAACGCAAGTAGGGGCAGGCCCCGGAGGGAGGGGAGGGAGGGACCGGGGGAGACCAGAGACAAGAACACGGGAGGCCATGCCTCGGAGACGAGGCAGGGAGGGGTGATCAAGGCGGTGGTGCCAAAGGAGAGTCTGGTGGGACAGGAGACGACACGAGCAGGGAGTAGACTCAGGACCTGACCTGGACTCTGCAATAAACACCTGACTAGACGCAGCTACCTGACCAGACTCAGCAACCAGAGTAGACTCAGTAGTCAGTGTGTACATGCTCGACCCCGGCTGCCGGGTAAACGTGGCCAAGTGTCGGCCCGTCGGAGCACAGGTGCAGTGGGTCACCCGCTGACTCGCAGGAGTGAACTGGTCAACCCCCCCATCCTGTAGGTCAGCACCACTCACCAAGTTCGTAGAGAACGATGGGAGGTAGAGACCTGACAGGATGCCAGAGGGGGCTACCGGACACGGTAAGACAGTGGAGAAGCGAGCAAGGACAAGACCCCCAGAGGGGTCCGCCAGGGAGACCGCAACCGGCCGACTAAGCGGCGTAAGTGTGGTATGGTCTTGAAAGAAGGAGCGGGAAGCACCCGAGTCAAGGGTGAAGGTGTGTAAGGCCTGAGCCGACGTGGTACCTGAGAGAGCAGACTCACGAGCACCTGGGGCAGCAGACGCACTAGAACCTAGAGCAGCAGCCTCACCAGCACCTAGAGCAGCAGCCTCAATTCCCGGGTCAGGCGGAACACACCGGTAACAGTCACCCTCATCAGTAGCAGACACAGCATACATGGCAGCAAGAATAGCATCATAGTCAAGATCAAAGATAGCAACCCCCGCCCTAGACAGCTCTCCCCAGCGAGGGATCTCAGTGGCGTCAGGGAACTGGTGACGCCAAGCGTCCGTCAGGCGGCCGAAGCAGCGCTGGGTGGTGTGCGAGCCACCGCACTACTCACCAGCGCGGTCGTCGGTACGGAGGACGTAGGTACAGGGACCAGTACCCCCACCTCGCTGACGCGCAGCGTACCACTCACGAAGCTGCTGGGGGGACGGGGTCTCACGAGTGCGCTGCTGCTGCTGGCGCTGACCACCACCGGAGCCACTCCTCTGTGCAGAGCCGCGACCAGTTCCACCCCCGCCGCCGCCGCCGCCTCCGCCGCCTCCGCTCCGACCGCCACCGCCGCCGCCTCCTCCGCCTCCACTGCTGCCACCGACACCTCCACCCCCGCCACCACTCCCACCACCACCCCCACCCCCTCCACTGCCTCCACCGCCACCTCCACCGCCCCGGCCAGCCCCTCCAGCGCCCTTGCCCCCCTTGCCCTTGCCTGTGCGGCGTCTCCCGCTAGGGGCAGACGCAGCGCCGACCGACTCGAAACCAACGAGGTCGGCCGCAGCAGCAGAAGCAATAGAGGGCAAGAGGGGGGAGGGGGAACACCCCTCAAAGACGGGGGTACGAGGGTCACCACGAGAGGCTCCTACAGCGACTATGCTCTTCTCTGCTGCTAGGAGGCGCTCCTCAAGGAGGTCAACGGTGAGTGTGGTGGGGAAAACTGAGAGGAAGTGGTCCCTGACTAAGCGAAGGGAGTCAGGAAGTCGGGTGACTATGTAGTAGAGGGTGATGTACATGGGGGGGGGGGGTTCTTGGCACAGAACTCAGCAGGAAGCGCAGCGCGGTAGCGAGTGTCACTAGTGCGAAGGTGCGTAATGAGGTCAGCGACTGTGGGAAAGGCAGCAAGGTCAGGGAAGAGGTACAGCAGCATGAGGCGGCTAAGAGCAGCAGTGGCAGGGGAAGAGTAGCGTGCAACTACAGCGTCGTACAAGGTCTTAGCACTCTTGTACTGACTAAAGTGCGCACGCTCAGCGGTCGATAAGTGGCGACGCACAGCAAGACGGGCAGCAGCATCGCGTGTGTCCCACTGTGAGCGAACGGTGCTGTCAGAAGTAGCAGGCGGGGTAGGAGAGGCACCAGAGGTGAGATAAAACAGGGAGAGTCCGTCTGCCCTATCGCACTGTAGGAAGAGCTGGAGGTCATCGACCCAGACCTCAAAGTCAACAGCACGACCCTCAGCATCAAAGGTAAGGACACTGGGGGTAGCCATGACAGTAGTGGTCTAACAGGGAGTGCTCTCACCAGTCCGGGTGTGAAGGGCCGGTGCGCGCCAGTAGGAACAGTAGCGGCTCGACGGCGGCTCGGCGGCTCGGCAGCTGGGCGGATCGGCTGCTGGGCGGCTCGGCTGCTGGGCGGCTCGGCTATTGGGCGGCACGGCTGCTGGGCGGCTCGGCTGCTGGGCGGCTCGGCTGTTGGGCGGCTCGGCTGCTGGGCGGCTCGGCTGCTGGGCGGCGCGGCTGCTGGGCGGCTCGGCGGCTGGGCGGCTTGATGGTTCGGCCGCTTGGCAGCTGAAGGGGGGCCGTGAAGGGCGGCGACGGGGCCGCTAGGGGCGGCGACGGGGCCGATAGGGGCGGCGACGGGGCCGCTAGGAGCGGCGACGGGGCCGATAGGGGCGGCGACGGGGCTGCTAGGGGCGGCGACGGGGCCGCAAAGGGGCCGAGAGGGGCCTCGAAGGGCTGCGACGGGGCCGCTAGGGGCGGCGACGAGGTCGCGAAGGGGCCGTGAGGGGCCTCAAAGGGCGGCGACGGTGCCGGTAGGAGCGGCGACGGGGCCGCTAGAGGCGGCGACGGGGCCGATAGGGGCGGCGACAGGGCCGATAGGGGCGGCGACGGGGCCGCTAGGGGCGGCGACAGGGCCGCAAAGGGGCTGAGAGGGGCCTCGAAGGGCGGCGACGGGGCCGCTAGGGGCGGCGACGGGGCCGCGAAGGGGCCGTGAGGGGCCTAGAGGGGGCGGCGACGGGGCCGCAAAGGACGGCGACGGGGCCGTAAGGGGTGGCGACGGGGCCGCTCAGGGTGGCGCGAGGGGGTCCGTGAGAGGCGACGTGAGGGCGGCCAACGGGGCGCGCCTCGGGCAGGGGCGACTCGCGCTCCGGTCAGGATTTTTTATTTTTTTAGTGGTGGGCCCTAAGAAGCGTTCCCACTAGGGAACCTGCTCTATACCATGTGAAGAAATGAGGAAGGAATGAATGAACTAGCAAGCAGGTGGGTACAAGTAGGAAAACCTACCCCATATTGTCTACCCCACTACAGCCTACACAGACTAAAGCATATGAGTTTGACACGAAATAGAAGCCGCGATTGGCTCGAAGCGCGCCCGAAGCCCTGCGCACCACGCATCCCACGTGCTGTACTGGGTGGTCTCGCAGAATGAACTCCAGGTGACAGCTGGACCCGTGGGCCCTTCCTCTTGCGACGGTGGCTCGTAGGCGCGTGGCGACGTCACGATGACTCGCCACCAGTCCATGGCGGGGCCCCTTAGCAGCGAAACGGCATATCGAATCTTTGCTGCGTCCGACTCGACGTAATTTGCGTCGAAGAAGACGTTCATCGTGAAGACCCACGATTGAACTGTCGGACCTCCACGCTGGCTCGGGTCGAAGCAGGGCGGGCGTTGCGGCTTGAGCGGCATTGGTGCCATAATGGCTTGTTCACCACTTGTCGCCGCGAACTCTACGTGCCGACGGGCTTCACGAGGCTCCCGCGGGCTAGGTGCGACCCTGTTTCCTCCCATGCCAGGCATCGGCTGGGCGGTGCCATCACTGGCTGCGCCTGAGCGCTATCCCACACTGTTGTTTTGTGTTGGTGTGCCGGACGAAATGACTATCGGCTTGTCCGATTGTGCAGATGCATTTGTCGGTGCGTGTGGTGGCGCTGGAGTGTTCACTGTTGATTGCTGACGCGCGGAGTCACGTTCCGCCGTGAGCGTCGCAATTTCGAGTGCCGAACCTTCAAGTTGGCGCACCAGACGGTCGAGCTGCTCCTGCGTCAATGTTGCGAGCGTGAATTCAGCCATGGCGGGGGTGTCGGGCGAGCTCAGCGAGAGCCTCGGTCGTGGCCGTGCGTGCTTACGAGAGAGCACTACAAGCGGCGGTGCTGTGTCGCTGAGAGACGTTTACCCCCCAAAAATTGAGACAGTGGGGAAGCGAAGGTGTGGGTGCGGTCCGAGAAGAGATCGTAGGCTCTGAATACCAAGTGTTACGAGTGCAATTGAGTGAGCGAGCGAGAATTGCACTATCGAAGCAAGGAAATACAATGAGCGAAGGCATGAGCGAAGAATATATAGCGAAACTACAATGGTAACGGTAATGGACTGTGGTTGTCGCGCGGCGGGCCTGGGACTGAGGTTGGGAAAAGTGTCGAAGCGGAGGACCGGAGCGCGGGTTACCCGCCGAGCCGTGAGGTCGGGGTGCGACATGCGAAGGTGGCGGGAGGATTGTCGATGCGAGAATTGCGAGTGGTAGCGGTGCTGACTGTGGGGCTACAGTGGTGTACGCACTGAGCGGGGACGCGAAGTAAGGAAAAGGAATTTTCCTTACAGAAACAAAAATATTCTATGCACCAGCCAGCTGTTGACATTTCCTTCGGGTGTTAGCTTGATTGATAAGAACGCTTTCCATCAATCCACCGTGTGCGGATTAAATACATGTATGATAGATTTCCCGAGTCCGAGCCTGCTTTCATAGATCCGCTCACAGCCTCGCCGCTGCGACTGATATCTGCAGCTGCTGATCCCTTCACCACCAGCATCCAACTTCCACTCAGCAAAGTAAAATGCAGTTCATTTCGCAGCAACCTCTGCCACTGCCCCGTTTTGTTGGCCCCCCTGCTCGTTTTCATAGACCTGTTCCTGTAGCTGCGCTTGCTCTTGCTCCTGCCATTCCTGTTTTTGCTGCTCCATTTCCACTTGATGCTGCGTCTGCCCCATTGACAGCTGCACTCTTAAACAACCTAGCATCCAAACTCTTACACTCCCCCTCTTTCCCATTGCTGCTGCTAAGTTCGGTGATTTTCCGAACCTGCACCACCGAGTTGAAAGACACCCGCCGCTTGTGCCCAGGCTCGGCAACAGGTCCGGGACAAGCCTTGGGAACAGGCTGTGTGGCAGCCCGTACCACGCTGTGCTGAAGGCTCGGAAGTGCCTCGGAAATGGCTCGGATGGTTGGATTCGAAGAAGACTTGGGATAAATGGATCGAGGGGAGGTGTCTAGAGCGGTGGAGATGGTTTTAAGTGGGTAACTTTCAAACAAACCAGTGCCATTCGGGGATGTAGCAGGGTCGGAGGGAAAAGAAGGGTCGGAGGGAAAAGAGGGAGCGGAGGGAATGGGAAAATTGGAGGGATCGGAGGGAATTGAGGGAAGGGAGGAGGGTGAGAGGAGGGTCTGACGGGCTCTGAAGCTGCTGTGTGTCTGCAACTGGAGCGACCGTTGCTGTTGCCGGTGCTGTTGCTGGTGTTGCTGCTGCTGCTGCTGCTGCTGCTGGTGCCGCTGTTTCTGCAAGCGATCCTTCCGATTCACCCTCTCCCCATCTGCCTTGCCCGCTCTCATCTTCTCCCCGTCATCTCCCTCCCCATCCAATTCCAGGAGGCTGGGCAGGCGCGGACTGTTCACCTCTGCCGATGGCTCATGATTACCCCGGCACTGTTCATCCTGCTCCCACTGCTTTTTTGACCTGGCAACAGCTGACCGCACTCGAGGCGAGGCGAGCGCTCTCACAACCAAGCTGTTGCGAATGCCGGCAGTACTGGCACAGCTGGTAGCACTGGCAGTGCTAGCAACATCGCTGGTGGTAACAATGCTGGTAGCATCACTGGTAACAGAGGCAGAGCGCACTCGAGGCGAGGCGAGTGCTCTCACAACCAGACTGTTGCTAACGCTGGTAACATCAAGTGTGCCGGTGGTAACCGCAATTCGCCTGCTGCTGCTGCCGCTGCTGGTAGCATTGCTGCTTGTAACATTGCTGCTTGTAGCATTGCTGCTGGCAGCATTGCTAACAGCTGAAGCAGAGGCGGGTGCGTGCACTGAAGGCAACGCAAGAGAAGCAGGTGGCTTTGAAGCAAGTGTGTACTGCGCCACAGGCGCAGCATACAGATCACCAAACCGGTAGGCATCCAAACCATCCGAAACCCTCTGCACCGCACCCAAGTCATCGGAAACCCTCTGCACCGCACCCAAGTCATCGGAAACCCTCTGCACCGCACCCAGAGATGCCATTTTGCGTAGAATCCGGGGACGGGTGCGCAGGGATGGAGAGGGCTGATTGTCTAGTAGACGGGCAGTTGGAGGAGCAACGGCAAGGGGAGCTGGCCGGACAGCAGGGGGAGCAGGGCGAATGGCAGGGGGAGCAGGGCGAATGGCAGGGGGAGTAACAATGGGAGTTTCATGGGGAGTTGAAGCTTGGGGAGTGGGAGTGTAGACATGCGGAGAAGATGCGGAGGGGGGGAAAGATGGAGTAGCAGGGACCGCAGAAGGAAGAGCAGCTGTGGCAGATGGTGAGAGCATGTGGGGATGAGAGTCTCGAGTATGGGGAGTGTAGACATGCGAAGGTGCCGAGGGGGAAAAACCGGGAGGAGAAAGGAGAGGAGCAGGGGGAGGAACAAAGGAAAGTGCAGGGGGAGGAGCAGGGGACGGAGGAAAGGAAAGAGCAGAGGGAGGAGCAGGGGGAGGAGCAGGGGGAGGAGCAGGGGGAGGAGCAGGGGGAGGAGAAGGGGGAGTAGATGTGGCAGTATCGGCTATAGGCTTTCTGACTGTTGCGCCAGCATTCCCTGTAACACCCGTTCCCTCTCCTAACTCCTCTCCTGACCATTCTCCCTTCAACCACTCTTCCTCCTCCTCCCACTCTCCCTCCTCTTCCCACTCTCCCTTTAACCACTCTTCCTCCTCTTCCCACTCCCCTTTCAACCACTCTTCCTCCTCTTCCCACTCTCCCCCCTCCCCCGTTACTGGATCATAGCAGGTGTCTTCTCTTCCACTGTGAAGGTCTGTTTTTTGAGACGTCTTAAAAGCTGGCCTCCCAACACACGCACCTTTCTCTCTGCATCCTTGCCTCCTCCTCACCACATCTGCTTCTCCCCCTCGCTCTCGCCCACCCCTCACCATATCCGCTGTATGGGAACGTCGAAGGCCCCGCTCCTGCCCCCCTTCCCTCATTCCTCCTCTCCCTCCTCTCCCTCCCCTCTCTCCCCTCCCTCCTCTCCCTCCCCTCCCTCTCCCTCTGCTCCCAACTCCTTCCCTCCCTCCTTCCCTATCCTTGCCTCTACCTCTCCCGTCGCCTCTCCCTCTCCCCACACCTCTGCCTCTCCCCCCACTACCTAGCCTCCCCATTCCCCTTCCCCCGTATTCGTCCCCCCTTGATTTCTCCCCCTTCTCTCCCTCTCTTCCTTCCATCCCTTGCTGTTCCATCCACTCCTCTCGTCTCCCACTCATCCCCGCACCCCGCTCACCCCTTCCCACTTCCACTCTCCCACTTCCCCCCTCCCCATTTCCGTCTTCTCTTCTCACACTTCCCCTCACCCCCCTTCCCTCTTCCGTTCTCCCATTTACCCCTCCCTCCCCATTCCCCGCACCCCCTCTACCACCTCCCCTTTCCACAGGCATACTTAAAGCACGGGCCATTTGCCTCCTCTCACACCAACCACCTCTCCCTCCTCTCCCTCTACCCCCCTCCACTTCCCTCTCCCCTCTTCCCCCTCTACCCTCTCTTCCTCCTCTCCCCCTCCCATATCCCCTCCCCCTTGGTCCTCCTCCCCCTCTTCCCCCCATTCTCTCCTCCTCCTCTTCTCTCCCCCCTCCTCGCGTTTTCATCCCAGTATCAACCACCCTCCTCTCCTCCACCCCAGCACTAGCAGGCCTTGCACCTTTAAGCGTCACTTTTAAACTCTCCGCTCGTCCAAGCTCCCTGCTCCCATTCCCACCAGCAGTAGCACTAGAAGGCCGCGCCCTTTTAAGAGTCACTCTTAAACTCTCCGCTCGTCCTAGCTGATTTTCCTTGCTCCCATTCTCATTCCCACCACCAGCAGCAGCAGGCCTTGCACCCTTAAGCGTCACTCTTAAGCTCTCCACTCGCCCAAGCTCCTTTGCCCAGGCCCCATTCTCAGCAGCAGCAGCAGAACCAGGCCGTTCACCTCTAAGCATCACTCTTAAGCTCTCCGCTCGAGCAAGCACCTGAGCCCTGCTCACACCAGAGGGGGCTCCCTGCCCTGCCTCATTCCGCTTGCCCTCACTCCGCATTTCAACTTCCCCACAACTGCCCCTCCTCTGAAGCCTCCTGCTACTCCCCTGTTGTTCCTCTGACCCTTCCCTTCCTTCCCGCATTTCAGCCTCCCCACAGCTACCCCTCCTCTGCAGCCTCCTGCTTCCTCGCCCCTCTCTCACTCCTTCCCTCTCTCCTCTTTCATCTGACCCTTCTCCCATTCCGCTCCGCATTTCCACCTCCCCACAGCTGCCCCTCCTCTGTAACCTCCTGCTCCCTCGCTCCTCTCCCCTCGCGTCCCTCTCTCCCTCATTGCCCCCACCTGCAATGCTGCGTCCTCTCTCCCTCAACTCAAACGTCACCTTCCCGGGCCTCTCGTGCGGTGCTTGTTCGGTCCTCTCTCCCTCATTGCCCCCACCTGCAATGCTGCGTCCACGCAACTCAAACGCCACTTTCCCGGTCCTCTCATGCACAGACTGGCCCCGCCTGTGCTGCCCTGTCGTGTTTGCTCTTTTCAACACCCGACCTCCACCATTACTTCCCCCTTCTGTCTCTTTCCCTCCAGTTCCCCCCCTTGCCCCTAGCCACACCCCTGCCCCATCCGTTGGCCCCTGAACCCCCTCCCTTCTCCCACTGCCCCTCTCTCTCCGACCCCTCTCGTCATCGCTCCCTTCCCGTTCACACTCCCACTCCCTCCTCTCCCTCCTCTCCATTGTCCTTGCCCCTCTAGCAACCTTAGAAAGCCACGCACTCCCCTCCTCTTCCTCCTTCATCCTCCCCATCACCCCCCTCCTCAACCCACTCAGCCACCCACCCCTCCCATCAGTGCAACTCATCTCACTTCCGTCCAAATCGCTGCCTCCCAAATCACGACCGCTTACCAACACATCTGCAAGTCCACTATCCCCCTCTGATGCTTCATCCTCCTCCACCTTCTCCCTTCCTCTTTCCTCCTCCTCATCCCCCACACTAACAACGTCTGCATCTCCTGCCCTCCTCCCCGTTTCCTCGTTCCTCCCCTCCCTCCTCTCCACCTCTCTCCTCTCCTCATCCCTCCTCTCCGACTCTCTCCGCTCCTCCCTTTCCTCTCCTTTTACCTCGCTCCTCCCCACTCTCCCACCCTCCTCCTCCACACTATGCGTCCTCACAGCCCCCCCACCGAGCCCACACACGCGCAGCATGCCCAGGGAAGCAAGAATACGGGGCGATATCAACGAGTCACTGCGGGCCCTGAACCTCATCCCTCTCTTCCGTTGAGACGTCTCAAAAGTCCCACCCTTCCTCCCCTCTCCCTCCTGCCCGTGGCACTTCCTGTCCCAACCGTGGGAGCCGAGCACGCGAGGAGAGAGAACGTCGCTTCTCTTACTCTCGTGATCGTTGCTCTTCTCGTCACAACCAGGCGAAGGAAGGACATGAGGAGAGACAAGGCTACTAGCTTTCCTCTCATGCCACTCCTCTATGCCTTCTATTGAAAAATCTTCACTTCTTCTCTTCTCATCCTGCCCCGTTCCTGAGAATTCGCTTCTGCTCCTCTCATGCCTGCTCCCTCTCTTGCTGCTTCCGGTGAGGCTTCCGAACCTGCCGTGCCCAAACCTGTTGCTACCCAACCTGCCGCTCCTGCCGAAGCTGATGCCGCTGCTGCTGCCAGGGCTGCTGCTGGTGCCGTGGCTATTGGGTAAGTGGAAACAAGCAGCAGCAGCAGCAGCAGCAGCAGCAGCAGCAGCAGCAGCAGCAGCAGCAGCAGCAGCAGCAGCAGCAGCAGCAGCAGCAGCAGCAGCAGCAGCAGCAGCAGCAGCAGCAGCAGCAGCAGCAGCAGCAGCAGCAGCAGCAGCAGCAGCAGCAGCAGCAGCAGCAGCAGCAGCAGCAGCAGCAGCAGCAGCAGCAGCAGCAGCAGCAGCAGCAGCAGCAGCAGCAGCAGCAGCAGCAGCAGCAACACCAGCACCACCATTGTCACTTTCAGCATCAGGTAACTCAGGATATGAAATATTACCACTAGAAGCAGTACCTGCACTCGCTTCCTCCCCTCTTCTCTTATCGATAGGTTTCTCCTCTTCCCCAGTTACCACTTCTCCCCCTCCCTCCTCTTTCTCCTCCTCCTCCTCCTGCTCCACTTCTGCTGTTTCCTCCTCTCTCTTCACCCCTGGTTTCCCTGTCCCCTCTTCCTCCCTTTGCCACTTCTCCCCCACTTCCTCCTCCTCCTCATCATCAACAGCACCACCATCAGCAACATACTCATACTGGTTACCAACGTGGTTACCAGCAGTGTACGGACCAGGTGCCTGCATCATGGGAGCGTCAGGTGCTTCAGGCGATTCAGGTGCTTCAGGTGATTCAGGTGGTTCAGGTGCTCTTCCAGGTGATGTGTGCGATTCAGGTGGAATCATGCGAGATGCAGGGGATTCAGAAGCACCATGCAGGTGGGGTTTGGGGAAGGGAGACTTGGTGTGGGAAGGGCATGGAAGATTTGCTGCAAGCAGGTGGGGTCTGGGGGAGGTAGATCTGACGTAGCGGGGGGAGCATGGTTTCTGTGGCGCCCGGGGCATCTCAAGGTTTGCTGCAAGCGGGTGCGTTCTGGGGGAGGGAGATCTGCTGTGGTGGGGTTGGGGTGGCAATGGCATTCGAGGCGCCTCAAGATTTGCTGCATCCAGGTGGGGTCTGGGGGAGGGTGATTTGGTGAGGTGGGGGAGGTATGGCAAGGGGGAAATCTGAACCACCATGCTGAGTGCATCATCCTCCCCCTCACATTCCTCCTCTTCCCCCTCACATTCCTCCTCTTCCCCCTCACATTCCTCCTCTTCCCCCTCACATTCCTCCTCTTCTTCTTCCTCCTCTTCCTCTTCATCCTCCCCCTCACATTCCTCCTCCTCCTCCTCCTCCTCCTCCTCCTCCTCCTCCTCCTCCTCCTCCTCCTCCTCCTCCTCCTCCTCCTCCTCCTCCTCCTCCTCCTCCTCCTCCTCCTCCTCCCACTCTCCTTCTTCCCCCTCCCCTCCTTCCTCCTCGTCCCCTCCCCACTGTCTGTGTGCCACGTCAGACCCTGGGACCTCCTCACTGAACTGCTGACGTGGCGAGAGCTGACGTGGCAGCTGCTCCTGCTGCCACTGAAAGCTTTGCTTTTGGGGGGGGCGGAAGGGGGAATCGCGGGGAGGGCGGGGGGAGGCCAGAACGCGGAGGAAGGGGGAGTCGGGGGGAAGGGGGGAGTCGGGGGGAAGGGGGGAGCGTGGGGTGAGGACGGGGGGAGTGAGAGGCGGGTGTTTGAGGGAGTGGGGAGTGAGTGGAGCTGGGTAATCCTGTGATGACAAAAGGCTGCGATCGAGAGTGCACACTCCCTTCCCAACCTCCTGCCCTTCCTTCCCCTCCTTCCCCTCCTTCCCCTCCTTCCCCTCCTTCCCCTCCTTCCCCTCCTTCCCCTCCTTCCCCTCCTTCCTCTCCCTCCTCTCCCTCCCCTCCTTCCCCTCCTTCCCCTCCTTCCCCTCCTTCCCCTCCTTCCCCTCCTTCCCCTCCTTCCTCTCCCTCCTCTCCCTCCCCTCCTTCCCCTCCTTCCCCTCCTTCCCCTCCTTCCCCTCCTTCCCCCTCTGCTCCTCCTGCTCTTTGCACACCGAATCCGCGTTACAAGATTCTTCCATATAACCACCTGTCCCTGCGATTAACTTTATCTCACCCTCACTCATCCCCTTGCCATCCTCCTCCTCCCCTTTCTTCCTCCCTTTCTTCTTCCTCCTCCCCTCCTTCACCACACTCACTCTACACTCATCTGGTGTCACATCCACCCACTCACTCACAAACACCTCTGCACCCCTTTCTCGATTTAAGCACCTTCGATTTAGCGACACCCCTTCCTCCCCATTACTACCAGCATCCATAATTCCTCCCACACTCCCGACTCTCCGCATTTTCCCAAGCCTCCACTGAAACTTCAATCTGCTGCTTCGGCCGAGGCTGCCGTTTCCGAGCCTTTGGCTCCCCCCAGTACCGAACCTCGAGAGGCTGTCGCTACCGAACCTAGGCACGCTCTGTCTGCCGAACCTGGCGAAACTGCCGCTGCCGAGCCTATGTACGCCACTGCTGCTTTCGCCACTCCCCTCATCCTCCACATAAGCACCCCAATCGAATCCCGAAATCAAAGTCGAAATAAGATTAGAGTTAGTGTCATAATCAATAATGGTATTAGGGCCCCCATGTCCGGGTGCAGAATTAGGCCGAACCACCAACCGCTGCTGCTGCTGGTTTGGAATCATTTCAAAAAGCCCATCTGCTGTTATGCTGCAAATGCCATCCAAAGTCTGCCGCCCGCTCTTCTGCCGGCCGGAGATTGCACGTCCAGCACTCTGCATGAGCCGTGCAGCTGTTTTGTCTTTCCTCGTGAGCTTACCTGAAAGGGGAACAGGAGAAGCAGATGCAGCAGCACCAGCAGCAGCAGCGGCAGCAGCAGTGGCAGCACGGGTGATGGCTGGATCGCCATGGCCATGCCCCAAGGAATCCTTCCCACAAGCTTCGATCCATGCAAGATCCATACCGTCCACTGCTCGATATGCACCGTCCAAGACTCGATCTGCACCGTTCAGAGTTAGATCCGCCCCAACTGCTGCTGCTCGATCCATATCACGTGCTGACGGTTCACACACCCACAGCACAGAGCCATCACCATCCCCTGTGCCTTGACTCAGCTGCGCCGAGCCTTTCCCCTGAGTTAACTGGGACGAGCCGGTTCCTCTCCCCCCTCCTTCCCCGTTTTCCGTTCGTTCTCCTATCCTGCCTTTCCCTGCTTCCGCTCTTGTCGCCGCTTTATCCGCCACCTCCTCCGCCTCTCCCTTTTTCAATCCCCTTCTTCCAGTTCTCTTTCTCGCGCTTTCTCCCGTCCCCTCTTTTTCCGCCGCATCTGGCGCCGGAAAAGGCGGCTGCGCGTCGCCGCTTCTCAACTGCGATTGTCGAAATGCGCTCCTCGCGTTCCTGCTTGGATGCGCGCGCACCTGCGCGGGCCGCCACGTGGCACCTGTCGATTGGCTCGTGCTGCTGCCCGGGGAAACGCCCGCCTGACTGTGACTGCCGCCGGGGGAAGGCGCGTCTAAGGAAGCGGGAAACTGCGCGCGCGCGGAGGAAAAATCGGGGGACTGCGCAGTGGCGGAAGGCGCGCTGGCGGAAAGTTGCGCGCTGGGGGAGAGCTTCTCGGAGAAGGCGGGGGATGGTGCGGAGCGAGGGGAAAAAACGCGGGGAAAGGGGGGACGGGGGGAAGGTCGTGAGCCGGGGCTATTTGGGTGCGTATCGGCGGCGGGGGGACCAAAAGCCGAAGGTTTTACGCGCGCGGGCGTGGCGGGGGAGCGCAATGGCGGAGCAGTGGGCTGCAGGAAGCGCACAAAAACCTCCGCGGGAGCTTCCGCGGGGTCCGACAGGGAGGGCTGGGCGACTTGCGGAGGCGCAAGGGGGGGCCGACGGGGGGCGGAACGGCGGCGGGACGACGGGGAACGCGGAATCGGGGGAATGTCGATGTGCAAAGCGGCGGCTGGCGCGCGGATTGAGGGATGCGGTGCTTGCGAAGTCATTTGCGACGTCATTCGCGATGTCATTCGCGAAAACCTATGCGACAAAGAGACCAGAAATTGCCGCGGGGGTGAGTGCGGGAAGGGGACTGAGCGCGAGGAATGCGCGGAAACGTGGGGAGCCCGCGGAATGGGAGTAGCGCGCGGAACGGAAGGGAGCGCGCGGATTGGGGGGAGCGAGCCGCGTAGCAGTGCGGGGGAAGAGCGGAGGGTGCGTGCGGAGTACGTCGTCTGCCGTTTACACCGAATTCGGCGACACGCGCCGCGAGTTGCGTTTCTCCGCGACAATCCCCCGAGCCCTTTTCGCGACCCGTTCGACAATCCCCCGAGCCCTTTCGCGAATTCAAACGGTAACTGCTCCGCCTTCCTGAAAATCCCCAGGGGAACGCGGACCCAGCAGCGGTGCGAAAGCCGCTAGAATCCCGCTCTTCATTCCCCACAAATCGCTACCGCTCGCACAATGGCGTCACGAATTCAGGGCATCTAGCGCGAACGACGTCAGGAATTAACATTCTGACTGCATCAACCATCGGAGTCGCGGGCTCCTTTGCGGCTTCAGGGGCTCCTTTGCGGCTTCACGGGCTTGGCTACTTGTATAATGCTCCTGAAAGAAAGACTACGCTGATCGGATTGAGAGTAAGGGGACTATGCTGATCGGATCGAGAGTAAGGGGTGTTGAGTCGAAGATGCAGAATCTACCTCCGAGGTACCGAAAAAACGTCGATGGACCTTTAGACGGACCTACAGTGCATCGCCACGTGGCAGCAGGGTTTGCTACATGGAGCCCGAGCAGATAGCCGTTGACAAGTGCTCAGAAACACCTCCCGAAAGAAGATGGCATAAATCGTAGAAGACGCACTGGTAGCGTCTGCTGGTGCTAGGCAGCCTGTACCTTCCCGTCGATTGCGGCGTGCAATCCCCGTGGGATTGAGACTTCGTTTTCTAGTCGCGTCGTAAGAGCGCGTTCATTCAAGTGCATAGCGACAAGTTTTAATAGTTTTTATACACAAACTTGTCTTTCACCGTTCGAGAAGGCGCCATTTTTGTGAAGCACAGATAACGCCGTCCCTTTTTGTTGGTAGATTCAGGAACGCGTCCTTCGGTTCCTTTTGTTCGTGAAAGCATTCGTGTCACGTGACTGACACCCATTTGCGAGCTGAAACATGACAGACAATTGCCGTACCGTGCCGTCGTGCTGCTTTCCTTGGCTCGTCGTGTTCGTTGGGAGATGCGTGAGTACGGTACGGTACGGAACTTCCCTTTCCGTTTCTGTACGATACAGTGCCTCATTTGTCCAATCCCCTTGGCAGGCCACTCGCTGTCAGCCACGCGAGACTGCTGAGTCAGCATGATGCCTCCCGGGCGACAAATTCTATAATCTCATAAGACGACAATCTAATTCTCAGGACTACCCCTTGATTACGCGAGCACACCCTAATTTCTCACCCTGATATCCACATCCTCGTTTCAGAACTGAAACCACACTGACAAATGAAGCCGCACAAAGATTCGAGGTGACAGGATGTTAAGACTACATTTGGGCGGAGATGAGTAAGAAAATCAACATAAACATTTTCGTTCATACAGCCCAGGGAGGGATAATCATCAAGAACAATCCGGAGTGTAGACTCAATGGCCGCACCCCTCTCGCCACCCACACCTTCGTAAGAAGTCTTGGAAAAGTCATTGACTTTCACAAGAAGCAATTCTGTAGACTCGTTGACCTGGTTTGCAAACAGTTGGCACGAAAATTGGGCACTGTGTAACTGTACTGTATTGCACGTCCAGCCATGTGGTCCATAGGTCTGTACGCGTACGTGATATAGAGAAGTCCTATTTAGAATCAAATGTAGATTGTTTGGGGGATCAGAATTCCAGTTACGAAATCTCTAACTGAAGATGATAATTGAAGAAATTAGCGATGTGCCTGCTGGATCGCGCCCTACTGCTCCAAAAATAATCGCGATTAGGGGGACGTCAGGTTGTACAGCTTTTTGTACGCCCTCTCCGGTAAACTTCGTTTCAACACGGTGAAGAGCGGTAATTGTCGAGAACCGCTTTTCACCGTGTTAGACCGTCTTGAACCACGATACAGGAACTGTAAGCGCGTGTGAAGTGTATAACCTGACGTCGCCCTTAGCGTCTCGCAGGGCTCGCTTGAACAGCTGCATCCGTTGTAAAAAAATATCGGGTGCTCATATGCCAGTCATCCGCGATGCAAGCTGCCGCGACATTAGCGCTGCCGGCGTCGCCCGTACATGGCTCCGCGATCTGCTGGTCGCACGAGAACCTGCTGGCTGCAGCGTTGGGCCCGCTTGTCGTTATAACGGTTCGCTATCTCAACTCCTCCCTCGTCGTTATTAGGCGCCGTGCTCGTAACTCCCCGCTCGTCGTTACCCGCCCCGTGTCCTCTTCTTCCCCCCGTGTCCTAACGTGGCCGCTCCTGCTTCTGCTCATCCTTCTCCTCCTGCTCGTCTCCTTGCTTTCCAGCCCCTCCGCTTCTCCTTCTCTTTGCTCAGCGGCTTTTGAGGCGCCTCAAAAGTCATGTCCTAACGTGGCTGCTCGTTCCTCCTGCTCCTCTCCTTGCTTTTCACCCTCTCCGCTTCTCCTTCTCTTCGCTCAGCGGCGTGAGCCATCATAGCCATTTTAGCGCGCTCGTGTTCTCAGCACCCTACATTGTCTCAGCGCCTTACAATATGTGAACACTGAGCACCCACAATCCTAGCTGCGAAGATTGTGGGTGTTCTCAGCATCCTATTGTCTCACCACGCTCGTTTTCTGCGCACCCTACATTACTCAATACCGCATCCTCTCAACACCGCGTATCTGCACCCCACAACCGTCCAACACCCAGAAGCTAGAATCTGATCCCAACACCTAAACTTATGCTCGCATTGCCATTCCCATATGCTGCCGTCACCAATTCATCCTCGTTACAAGAATCCTCCACCAAACACCCAATCACTCTCTCCCCAAGCCTCTTTCACCTTCCAACTCCTCCTGTTCCCGACTGTCTTCCAGAACCCGGCCAATCTTAAAGGGCCACGTGGCTTCATCCTGTTGCAGCCGTCGGATTCTCTAGATGCCCAGATCAACGGCCACGTGGCTGACTCAGGTTAGCTGACTACCAAACCCTCATCTAAGGAGTTACTAAACATGTCCTCCTCATCCTCTCATAGCTGTTTTTCTGAGAGGATAAACCAGCTGTAACCCAGCTGTAACCCAGCTGTAACCCAGCTGTAACCCAGCTGCCTCCCGACCTCCCTGCGTTCATATCTCCAAGGTGACTTTTGAGTCGACTCAAATGTCACCCAGCTGTAACCCAGCTGCCTCCGGACCTCCCTGCGTTCATATCTCCTGCCTTTCCCGGCTGACCTCCCATCCGCCCTCCCTTGCCAGATCTACCTGCCCCAGTCCTCACCTCCCTGCGCCTGCATGCCGACTCTGCTCTCTCCGTTCGCTCCCTCACCTGGTCCCCGCTGCTCCCCCACTCCATCCTGCAACGCGGGTACGACCCTGGCAGTTGACTGGCTTTCACTGCTCGTCGCTGCTCTTGAGTTGACTGCTGCTGTTGACCGAGGTTGACTTGTATCCATGTTGGTGCGTATTACTGGCTAAGTGTCCCATTTCTCTTGCAAACTTTCCTTGCTGGGATTGGCCCTTTTCATAGGTTGTTTGGAAGGCCACACATCGTTTGTCTTTTACACCCCTCCCTCCCCACTCCCCTCGACCCCCCCCCCCCCCCCCCCCCCCCCCACACACACACCACTCCCTACACCAATCACCAGCTGCCAGCTGGCAGTGTGCTCCACAGATGGCCGGCTGAGAGTGTTCAGAGCGCCCGTGCAGGAGGCAGGCTCCAAGTGGATCCAGGTGAGTCTCCAGGTGACCTTTCAGGTCAATTTCCAGGTGACCTTTCAGGTGACCTTTCAGGTGAGTTTCCAGGTGAGCTTTCAGGTGAATTTTCAGGTGAGTGAAACGTTGGAGTCGCCTGCGTTTTGAAACAGGCCAGCTTTTTAGGTGCCTCATAGGTGACCTGACCTGGATGTCTTACGTGATTGAAGTCATTGGCCTTTCCCCCCTCACTGTCTGCCGGTTTGAGACATCTCAGATTCTTCTTAAAAGACATTTTCCTTGCTTGGGCCTATGAGCGGAGTGCATAGGTGACATATGTCAAAGCCTTTCCTCCCTCGCTGTCTGCCCTTTTCACTCACTCCCATTCGCCGGCCCTTGTGCGCACAGGTGGCGGATCTCTCTGCGACCCTTACTGCTCATTTGAGAGACACGTGGCAGAGCCAGACACGTGGCAACAATGAGAAGGTGACACGTGGCAGTGATGAGAAGGTGACATGTGGCAGCGATGGGAGACTGCCACGTAGCAGGGATGACAAGGAGACACGTGGAGCACAGGTGGACAAGAGCAATGGGAGGGACGGCAGCATTGCAGGCGGAACAGGTGGTAAAAGGACACGTGGCAGCAATCAGAGCGAGCAGAGAAGTTTAGTTGAGGAGGAGGCGGTGGGGAGAACAGGGAGGAAGAGGAGAAGGGCGGAGAGGTATGGGGAGTGTGCGGAGGGGGGAGACAAAGGGGGGGGAGAAGAGGGAGGGGGGAAAGAGAGTGAAAGCAGTGAGGAGGAGGATGCTGAGGAGGGGGAAGAGTGGGAGGGCGATGCAGAGGGGGAGGAGGAGGAGGAAGTGGAAGATTGTGATGAGGAGGAAGGTTGGGAAGAGGAGGAAGATGAGAGGGAGGCGGGTAAGAACGCTGGGAAAGTCGCAGCAGGAGTAGCAGCAGCAACAGCAGGAGCAGGAGTGGCAGCAAAGAGGACAAAATCTGCCGGACGGGTTGATCTTAGTCCAGAGGAACCCGGCGAGTCGCATTGCATCACGCCGACCCAGTTTGCCACCCGGCACAAGCGGCTGTTCGCCACGTGTGCAGCGTGGTCCCCACTGGTGACGCTGACGTGGCAGGTGAACCAACAACGCACCAATCAGGAGGAGGGAGAGAAAGAGGCGGGAAAGCAAGGGGAGGCAAGACGAGGGGAGGCAAAGCAGGCGGGGGGGAGACAAGGAGATGGGAAAGAGGGGCATGGGATCGCTGTCACCTTCTCATGCCTGGCGTCTGGGTCCCAGTCAGGCCACATCTCCCTCTGGCTCCTCCCGTCAGTCTGGGAGGGCCACTCTCCTCATTCCCTCCCTCCCACGCTCCCTCTTCCTCCACCTCCGTCTGCTTCCCATCTCAACGGTTCCTGGGCTCTCCTGCGGTCGCTGCGGGCGCATCCTGGCCGTTGGATCACCGCGCTGACGTGGCTGGATGACGGGGCTTGTGGGTGTGATGACGTGGCACGCGAGAAGATGGAGAGGGGAAGCAAGGGACGAAATAGCTGCAGCAGCAGCAGCAGCAGCAGCAGCAACAGCAGCAGTGGGAGCAGTGGCAGTAGTGTGAGGCTGCTTCTTGTCTCTGGCGCTTCGGATGGGAGGTAAGTGTGTGAAGTGAACTATGGTGTTTTTTCTCTGTACACTTTGGCTCTGAACTCTTCACAGCCACATTCACATTCACTACATTCTCTTCTGTAGGCGTTCCCTCCCCACTCCCCTCTGTTACCCCAAGAGAGTCATTGCCTAACTTCCTTCCCTCCAGTGTGACTGTATGGCAGGTGACCTTCTCTCTCACCTCGCTACTGTCACAACCAACACCAACAGCAGCAAAAGCCGATCTCCATCCCTCACATGGTCCTCCTGCCCACATGTCTGCAGCGCTGCGCACCAAGATAACACCTCTCTCCAAGGCACGTGAACCTTAATAACAAAATGTCTTGGTACTGTTTCCAAGAAATTGTATCCTCGTTACTGCATCACGTGCCTGACTTCCTTATCATGACGTTTTCTATCAGAGTGTTGTTCCTGTTTCTGTACAAAGGAAGCGTGTGCACCTTCTCTTCTCATCTGATTACCTTCACTGCTTCTTCTTTCTCTTCGACATTCCTCCCCTCCTCCCACAATACCGCCTCACTACTCCTGTCAGCAAACTTCCCCTTCCGCCCCGCCCCTCCCTCACTTGGCCTTGTCTTTCCGTTTCCCATGTCGCCCTCCCATTTTTGTAATTCTGTGTTTCGTCACCTCCTTCCCTCTCCTCTTGATCAGATCGCCACTCCTAACGGCTCACCAGTAACCACCCTGTCCGCAGCTCTTCTCCCCCGTTCCATCCGACTGAAAGTCACCTCTTTTCCCGTGTCTCTTCTGCTCCCATCCCGCCCCGCTCCCCTCCCTCGCAGCTCGCCACTCCTAACGGCTCACCAATAACCACCCTGTCTGCAGCTCTTCCCCCCCATTCCAACCCAACTGGAGGCTTACTCACAACTCCGCTTCATGCTGCTCCGAATTATGAACATGCTGCTGCTGCTGCAAGGGGAGAACCACCACCACCAGCACCAGTCACAGCAACACCAGCAACAGAAGCAACACCAGCAGCAGCTGTGGTGGTAGTGGGGGCAGGGTGTGCGTCAGGGCAAGTAGTGGCGTGGTGGGTGCAGTGGGGGGACGGGTGGGGACGAGTGGGACAGAGGGATGGAAGCGGGGGGCAGAGCAGGGGGGAAGGGGGACAGATGGGGAGCGGAGCTGGGGCAGCGGAAACAAATAGGGAGAGTGCGGAAGTGGTTGGTGAAGTGGGGGAGAGGGGAAAGAGGAAGGAGACTGGAGGAATGGGTGGGTGTGTGACGGTGGGAGGATGGGCAGATGCACATGCAGCAGCAGTGACAGGGGTGGTGGTGGTACTGCGAGGGATGGGGCTAGCAGCGCTCTACTCCTGCTCCCAGGTGAGCTTGTAGGTGGGGGGAGGCGGGTTGTGCGTGTGTGTGGGGTTTGTTGTACTGTCTTGAACTCACAGAAGTACTGAAGTGGATGAAAGTCGAGTCTAAGATCGCATGCAGCATGGTGGTGCTGGTGGTGCTGGTGGTGGTGCGATGCGATGCATGGGGCTAGCAGCGCTCTACTCCTGCTCCCAGGTAAGTGCTTCTGTGTGTGCGGGGGGAAAAGATCTCCCATGTGATCACCCAGGTGTTATCCCAGGTACGCTTTCGTTCACCTGTGCCGTTCATTGATGAAGGTGTACGCTGATTCTACGCACTCTCCCATTCCTGTTTCCCTCCACTTCCCTCAGGTCGATTCAATCAAGTGCTGGTCCGTCAACCCTCCACCAACCTTCTACACCTCCCTCTGCTCCGCCTTCTCCTCCTCCCTCTCCTCCGCCCTTCCCTCCTCTCCTCCCTCCTCTCCCCCCTCGGACTTCCTTCCCCTGCGGCCGCTTCCCCTTCCCCGCCTCTCCTCAGCGCTCCCTCTCACCCTGTCAGAGGGATCCGATGATCCCACCACACAGGTGAGACGTGTAGCAGGCTGCTGTGCCTTGCTTCATTGCTTGGAGGAGCGCTCTACAGCCATTGCTTGCCATAGCCACCACCGCCATGCCTCTCTCTCATCCCGTGCCCCCTCCCGGTCGCACCAAGCCCACTCAGTGCACCGCCTTCCCTCGGCGGTGCATGCTCTCACACCATGCCATGCCCTCTCCAAGCCCCCCCTCATCCCGTCCCTCCCAATCCTTCCACACTCCCACCAACCCTTCCTCCCAAGCCTCGTGCGCTGAACCCTAGGCTGCCCTGCCACGGCCTTGCCTGCTCTCACACCATCCCATTGTGCCTTGGTAACGAGGTGACTTTTGAGTCGACTCAAAAGTCACCTCCTCCCAAGCCTCGCGCGCTGAACCCTAGACTGCCACGGCCTTGCCTGCTCTCGCACCACACCATCCCATCATGCCTTGACATGCTATCGTCATGCCCTCCCCCCATCCTCTCCCTTCCATCCCAGGCCTCGCGCACTGACCCCTCTGACTTTGTCTGCTGCCATGGCCTTGCCTGCTCTCACGCCATGCCGTGACGTCGTTGTGCCATGCCATCGTGCCCCAGCCCACCACCTCCTCCCATCTCATCTCTCGCGCACACCACCCCCTCCCTTTCATCTCCTCCCAGGCCTCGCGCACAGACCCCTCTGACTTTGTTGGCTGCCACGGCCTTGCCTGCTCGCCCAATCGCCTCGTCATTGCAACGGTCAGTCCCCCTCACCAGTCAGTCACCTCAACCTCGCGGGTGCAGAGACGGCTTTTGAGGCACCTCAAAAGTCAGTCCCCCCCACCAGACGACTAACTCAACCTCGTTTTGCGTCTCAGATACTCTCAGCACCCCTCTTAACCCCCTTCACCTTGTTCTGCACGTTTCTCGGTTTCCCGGCATCCCGGTATCCCGGTTTCAAGGCTTCCCAATTTCCCAGTTTCCCAGTTTCCCTGTATCCCGGTTTCGGTTTCCCCGTTTGCCTGTTTCCCAGCATCCCGATTTCCCGGTTTTCCGGTTTCCACGGATCCCAATATCCCGGTTTCCCGGTATCCCCGTATCCCGGTTTCCCGGTTTCCCGGTTTCACGGTTTCCCGGTTTCCCGGTATCCCGGTATCCCGGTATCCCGGTATCCCGGTATCCCGGTTTCCCGGTTTCCCGGTTTCCCGGTATCCCGGTATCCCGGTATCCCGGTATCCCGGTCTCCCGGTCTCCCGGTCTCCCGGTCTCCCGGTCTCCCGGTCTCCCGGTCTCCCGGTCTCCCGGTCTCCCGGTCTCCCGGTCTCCCGGTCTCCCGGTCTCCCGGTCTCCCGGTCTCCCGGTCTCCCGGTTTCCCGGTTTCCCGGTTTCCCGGTTTCCCGGTTTCCCGGTATCCCGGTTTCCCCGCATCCCGGTATCCCGGTATCCCGGTTTCCCGGTTTCCCGGCTTCACGGTTTCCCGGTTTCCCGGTATCCCGGTTTCCCGGCATTCCGGCATCCCGGTTTTATCCCGGTTTCCCGGTATCCCGGTTTCCCGGTGTCCCGGTTTCCCGGTGTCCCGGTTTCCCGGGTTCCCGGTTTCCCGGTATCCCGGTATCCCGGTTTCCTGGTTTCCCGGTTTCCCATTTCCCGGTTTCCCGGTTTCCCGGTTTCCCGGTATCCCGGTATCCCGGTTTCCCGGTTTCCTGGTTTCCTGGTATCCCGGTATCCCGGTATCCCGGTGTCCCGGTATCCCGGTATCCCGGTTTCCCGCTTTCCCGCTTTCCCGCTTTCCCGGTATCCGGTATCCCGGTATCCCGGTTTCCCAGTTTCCTGGTATCCCGGTCTCCCGGTCTCCCGGTCTCCCGGTCTCCCGGTCTCCCGGTCTCCCGGTCTCCCGGTCTCCCGGTCTCCCGGTCTCCCGGTCTCCCGGTCTCCCGGTCTCCCGGTTTCCCGGTTTCCCGGTTTCCCGGTTTCCCGGTATCCCGGTTTCCCCGCATCCCGGTATCCCGGTATCCCGGTTTCCCGGTTTCCCGGCTTCACGGTTTCCCGGTTTCCCGGTATCCCGGTTTCCCGGCATTCCGGCATCCCGGTTTTATCCCGGTTTCCCGGTATCCCGGTTTCCCGGTGTCCCGGTTTCCTGGTGTCCCGGTTTCCCGGTTTCCCGGTTTCCCGGTATCCCGGTATCCCGGTTTCCTGGTTTCCCGGTTTCCCATTTCCCGGTTTCCCGGTTTCCCGGTTTCCCGGTATCCCGGTATCCCGGTTTCCCGGTTTCCCGGTTTCCTGGTATCCCGGTATCCCGGTATCCCGGTATCCCGGTATCCCGGTATCCCGGTTTCCCGGTTTCCCGCTTTCCCGGTATCCGGTATCCCGGTATCCCGGTTTCCCAGTTTCCTGGTATCCCGGTATCCCGGTCTCCCGGTCTCCCGGTCTCCCGGTCTCCCGGTTTCCCGGTTTCCCGGTTTCCCGGTTTCCCGGTATCCCGGTATCCCGGTATCCCGGTATCCCGGTTTCCCGGTTTCCCGGTATCCCGGTATCCCGGTATCCCCGTATCCCGGTTTCCCGGTATCCCGGTATCCCGATATCCCGGTATCCCGGTATCCCGGTATCCCGGTTTCCCGGTGTCCGGGTTTCCCGGTTTCCCTATTTCCCGGTTTCCCGGTATCCCCGTTTCCCGGTATCCCGGTATCCTGGTATCCTGGTATCCCAGTATCCCGGTTTCCCGGTTTCCCGGTTTCCCGGTATCCCGGTATCCCGGTTTCCCGGTTTCCCGGTTTCCCATTTCCCGGTTTCCCGGTTTCCTGGTTTCCCGGTTTCCCGGTATCCCGGTATCCCGGTTTCCCGGTTCCCGGTATCCCGGTATCCCGGTATCCCGGTTTCCCGGTATCCCGGTTTCCCGGTTTCCCGGTTTCCCGGTTTCCCGGTTTCCCGGTTTCCCGGTTTCCCGGTTTCCCGGTATCCCGGTATCCCGGTATCCCAGTATCCCGGTATCCCGGTTTCCCGGTTTCCCGGTTTCCCTTTATCCCGGTATCCCGGTATCCCAGTTTCCCGGTTTCCCGGTTTCCCGTTTTCCCGGTATCCCGGTCTCCCGGTCTCCCGGTCTCCCGGTTTCTCAGTTTCCCGGTTTCCCGGTTTCCCGGTATCCCGGTTTCCCCGCATCCCGGTTTCCCGGTTTCCCGGTTTCCCGGTTTACCGGTATCCCGGTTTCCCGGCATTCCCAGTTTCCCGGTCTCCCGGTCTCCCGGTTTCCCAGTTTCCCGGTTTCCCGGTTTCCCGGTATCCCGGTTTCCCCGCATCCCGGTTTCCCGGTTTACCGGTATCCCGGTTTCCCGGCATTCCCGGTTTCCCGGTTTCACGGTTTCCCGGTTTCCCGGTATCCCGGTTTCCCGGCATTCCGGCATCCTGGTTTTATCCCGGATTCCCGGTATCCCGGTTTCCCGGTGTCCCGGTTTCCCGGTTTCCCGGTATCCCGGTATCCCGGTATCCCGGTTTCCCGGTTTCTCGGTTTCCCGCATTCCCGGTATCCGGTATCCCGGTATCCCGGTTTCCCGGTTTCCTGGTATCCCGGTATCCCGGTCTCCCGGTCTCCCGGTCTCCCAGTTTCCCGGTTTCCCGGTTTCCCGGTTTCCCGGTATCCCGGTTTCCCAGCATTCCGGTTTCCCAGTTTCCCGGTTTCCCGGTATCCCGGTATCCCGGTTTCCCGGTTTCCCGGTTTCACGGTTTCCCGGTTTCCTGGTTTCCCGGAATCCCGGTTTCCCGGCATTCTGTCACCGAATATGTACGTTTGTGCATATAAGGTGCCAGTATGATTGTGGTGTAGAAAGGGTGTAGTAATGTGTTGTATTTGTTGTATGCAGGCTCAAGGATGGGTAGGTGGGAGGCTGGGAAATTGACGCGAAGTTGGTAGGAGAACACCAGGGGGTGAAATCCTCGCGACCAATGGGAACAAACCCAACCCAGGCTCAAGCCGCACATTGAGAAATGCACGGCTCGAGCCAGGGACAGGTAAGTTCACTCTCACACACACACACAATGCTTTCTGTTTGTTATCCTTTCGTATAGTGGACAGTTGTTACCTCAGATTTGCCTACAGGTGGCACACCACTCAGAGAGGACCTTTGAGGTGAGAGTTACCACTCTTTATCCCGGTTTTGTCCCGGTTTCCCGGTATCCCGGTTTCCCGGTGTCCCGGTGTCCCGGTTTCCCGGTTTCCTAGTTTTCCGGTTTCCCGGTATCCCGGTATCCCGGTTTCCCGGTTTCCCGATTTCCCGGTTTCCCGGTTTCTCGGTTTCCCGGTTTCCCGATATCCCGGTATCCCGGTATCCCGGTATCCCGGTATCCCGGTTTCCCGCTTTCCCGGTTTCCCGGTTTCCCGGTATCCCGGTATCGGGGTATCCCGGTTTCCCGGTTTCCCGGTATCCCGGTATCCCCGTATCCCGGTTTCCCGGTTTCCCGGTATCCCAGTTTCCAGGTTTCCCGGTTTCCCTATTTCCTGGTTTCCCGGTTTCCCGGTATCCTGGTATCCCGGTATCCCGGTATCCCCGTATCCCGGTTTCCCGGTTTCCCGGTATCCCAGTTTCCAGGTTTCCCGGTTTCCCTATTTCCCGGTTTCCCGGTATCCCGGTTTCCCGGTATCCCGGTATCCCGGTTTCCCGGTTTCCCGGTATCCCGGTATCCCTGTATCCCGGTATCCCTATATCCCGGTATCCCGGTTTCACGGTTTCCCGGTTTCCCGGTATCCCGGTATCCCAGTATCCCGGTTTCCCGGTTTCCCGGTTTCCCGGTTTCCCGGTATCCCGGTATCCCGGTTTCCCGGTTTCCCGGTATCCCGGTATCCTTGTATCCCGGTATCCCGGTTTCCCGGTTTCCCGGTTTCTTGGTATCCCGGTATCGGGTTATCCCGGTTTCCCGGTATCCCGGTATCCCGGTAGTATCCCGGTATCCCGGTTTCCCGGTTTCCCGGTTTCCCGGTATCCCGGTATCCCGGTTTCCCGGTTTCACGGTTTCCCGGTTTCCTGGTTTCCTGATATCCCGGTTTCCCGGTGTCCCGGTGTCCTGGTATAAAAAGCGCTAGAATGCTTCTCGTAGTAGTTTGCTTCGCTCTCACTCCAGCTCGCTGCAGCAAGTATAAAAAGCGCTAGAACGCTTCTCGTAGTAGTTTGCTTCGCTCTCACTCCAGCTCGCTGCAGCAAGTATAAAAAGCGCTAGAACGCTTCTCGTAGTAGTTCGCTAAGCTGCTCGCTCAAGTAAAGCTGCTAAGCTCACTACTCTCCGCTAACGGTGCGGAAACAGCAGCCTTGCACCTTCTTCTATACTCCTATCTCGAGCCGCGACCTGCTAGCAATCCGCGACACCCTTGACGCGACAAGCTGTTAGAATCTAGAATCGAGGATCTACCGTGACGGTCCTGACGCACGTTGTTACGAAGCCCCTGCTTATCCGGCAGACTATTAGCGCGCGGTGCGATGTGAAGTCTTCCTTTGCAACGGCGTGGTTTGAGCTCTGCATTGAGCAGCTCAGGACAGCACGGCCTTACATTAGTTTCTACCTTCCGCTGCACGAACATCAGATTTGCACCGCCCTTCCCTCAAACTGCTTTTTCGCCACCCCACAAACTCAACTTCCCGCCACTTCGCTAAGCCCACATTCGCGCGTGCGACAGCTACTCCCAAGCCAATTTACGTGCCCTTCCTCGCTACACCAACTTTTTACCTGAACCAAAGACTACACTTTTCACCACCTTTCATATGCCTCCTTTACATCCAAAATCATTCCGCATGCCACCAGCCCATTTCCTTACAAAATGACAGGCCGCAAAAGGGGTCGTGGTGCCCAAGACTCTGAACCCACTTCTCCTCGCCCGCCTGCCCGTTCGCGCCAAACTCCAGCCTTTGCGACCCTTTCAGCAGCTTTATCGATCCCCGCACCACCCTCTACCTCTCAGCCTCGCCCTACTTCTGCTCCTTCCCAGCAACCTCAGCCAACGTCAACGCCTAAATTTGTCTCAAAAAAACAGAAAGACGTCCTTCAGCAGGTCCTTAAGGAAACTCTTCCTACGCCATCGTCTTCATCACGACCACAAACCTTTCATCCTCCGCCCTCTACTTCTCGAGACCAACCTTCTCCTGCGTCAAACCCTCCAGGTGCCACAGCAGTTGTTCCTGATCCCACGGTCGATACTGACGACGCGCACCCACTATCTCACTATGAAACAGATGCCCTGCCTCCCCAGCAACATCCTCCTCCACCCCCCCACGACCCTCACTCTACGCAACCAGACCCTCTTCGTCCTCTGCCCTCGCCAACCCCCAACAACTCACCACCCCCTTCTGTTCCACCTCCACCGTCTCCGCAGCCAGCACCGAACCCCCCGGCACCCACTTCACACCCTCCTCCTGTTCCTTCTCCACCTCCTCCTGCAGGCCCTTCTCCCGCCGCCCCTTCTTTCAACTGTCCCTTTTGCAACCGCCCGTGCGCCAACGCTGGCACCCTTTCGCGCCATGTATCTGCGTGTTCGCGTCACTCCAGTGCTCGCCAGCAGGCTGCTCGCCCTCCACCACCCCGCCCCCCACCCTCTGCACCTCCAGCATTGTCCCCACCCGCCATCCCGGAGCAGACTTGGGAGGTGGTTCTCACCTGGGATTGGTCAGGTTTCTTCAGCCCCACTGTCTTGCCGGGGCCTTTGATTCGACGCATTCCTTCTCGCATCCGCCTCCTCATGCTCAACGCCCTCCTCATTCCTCTCCACCGCCTCGCCGCTTGCCCGGGTGACACAGCTGCCCACCTCATCATCCTTGCCTTTCCTCGCCTAGTACTTCGTTCTCCGCCTTCTTCTTCCGCCGTGTCAACTACATCCGCTTGCGTTGCGCTCCTTCGTCGCTTCCTCCAAGGCGATTGGCTCTCCCTCTTCCAAGAGGCATTCGCTGCAGCTGTCCCAGCCACCCGCCCTTCCACTCTCACCTCAGCACGGTCCACAGCCTCGCAGGCGCGGATTAATCGGGCCAAACGTTTCGCTCGGTGTGGCGACTTCTCACGATCCCTTGCAGCACTAGAAGCAGGCGAGCTGGCACCACCATCTTCAGACATGGTCACTGCGCTTCATGCAAAGCACCCTCCAGCTGCTGCCGAGATCCCTGACTGGGTGGCCTCTTTCACTGCTACAGAGCTACCTCAGCTTACAGTCCCCTTACTGCACCAGGCCCTTCGTTCTGCCCCACGCGGCACAGCTGCTGGCCCCTCAGGGTGGCTCATCGAGCATCTGCGAGACACGTTCCTCTCTTCGCAGAACCACCTCCCATATCTCCTCCGCCTCTTCCAGTCCTGGTTACAGGGAGACCTCCCCCCGGCCGTTCGGTCTTACTACGCAGCTTCTAATCTCGTCGCCCTATGTAAGCCCCAAGGCGGGGTCCGGCCAATTGCCATTGGAGAAGTTCTCCCTCGCTTGCTGTCCCGCTGCGTTACTCTCATTTACAAACAACAAATCCGAGAATTCTTCCTTCCCTCCCTTCAATTCGGCGTCGCTGTTCCTGCGGGTATCGAGGCCATGGCACATGCGGTCCAGGCCGCCTTATCCCTTCACCCGAATTGGGTGGTTCTTGAGCTCGATGTCGCAAATGCCTTCAACTCCTTTAACCGCAACTTCATGTTCGACGCCCTCCGCCAGTCCCCCTTCTCCTCCCTTATCCCCTTCTTCCGCCTCTTCTACGCTGCTCCCTCTCCTCTCCACTACCGCAACGGCCCCATCCTTGAGACCCTCCAATCAGCTTCCGGTGTGCGGCAGGGGGACCCTTGTGGACCTTTCCTCTATGCCCTTACCCAGCAGCTCGCCATCCACCCTACACAGCAACTCCACCCCTCGACTTTTATCACTTCATATGCCGACGACACCTACATAGTTGGCCCAGCCCCGGACGTTTTTGCCGCTTACAATACCCTCACTTCCCGCCTGCAGCCTCTTGGCCTCACCGTCCAGCCTTCCAAGTGCTCGCTTTATGGCCCTTCTGACATTCCTCCAGACGCTATGCCTCCACCAAACCTTAGCATCGCTCCTAATGGCCTCACTGTGGCCGGAGTACCTATTGGATCTGACTCATACATCATCTCCTCAGTCGGCCACAAACTCCGCTCTTTTGCTACGTCTCTTTCTCTTCTCCACGACCTGCACGACCCTCAGATAGCATCTCGCCTTCTAACCCTCTGTGTCTCAGCACGCCCCTCCTTCCTCCTCCGCACGGTCCCTCCTTTCCCTGAAATTACAGAGTTGTACACCGACTGGGATAACGACTTACTCAACCACTTCACCCGCCTCGTTGGCTCTGAATTTTGGCCACCTGACTTTGACCATCTTCCTACCGCACACCACCAGCCATTCCTTCCCATCCGCATAGGTGGCTTTGGCCTCCGCTCTTCCGCTGGGTTTGCTGATCTCGGTTTCCTCTACAGCTGGGCCCAACCTGTCCCTCTCCTGTCCTCCCACTTCTTCGTCGGCGGTGCTCCCATCTTTCGCCCCTTCATTTCCAGTGACACCATTGACCGTCTCGACCCTTGCATTGTTTCAGCCATGTCACGCCTTCCCCCAGACATTCTTCACCTTTTCCCCTCCTGGCCTGCCCTCATTTCGGGATATCCCCACAAACTTTACTCCTACCTTTCCCAACTCAAGGAAGCTGCCATGCTCGAACGGGTGCGCTCCACAGTGACTTCTCCCCTTCATCTGGCCCGTATAACCTCCTTGCAAGGGCCCCATGCAGGGGATTGGCTTTCTGTGGCCCCATCCTCTCAGCATCTCCAGCTTTCCCCGACAGAATGGAAAATTGCAGCTGCAATCCGCCTCGGCCTTCCCATCCCACACCTCACCACCTCCCGTGCTTGCGTATGCGGTTTCTCTTACACAGACCCATCCATTGTCTCCCACGTCCTTCGCTGCCCTACCGGAAACGAGCCCACCAGGGTCCATGACGCCGTCAAACATGAGGTTCACCGGATTGTCAAGGAGCTGTGTCTTCCTTCCCAGCTAGAGGACAATCACCTCCTTCCTGGTCGCCGTCCCGACATCAGCTGCAGAGACACGAGTTCAGGAGCTGACTTGGGCCTTGGATGTCACAGTGGCAGATCCACAGCACGGTTTCCCTCACTCCAACGCCGCTACTGTCATTGGTTCTGCTGCTGCTGCTCGTGAGGCGGAGAAACGCTCTCTCTATGCTACATCACTTCGCGATCTCCCCCACGTCATATTCTTTCCTCTTGCAATTGAAACATTCGGCTGCTTCGGCAAGTCATTCCTGCACTTTCTCCAAGATTGCAGCCGTCGTGGTGCAGCCCGCATTCGTGACTACAGTGGCACGACGGACCTGGTGCCTCACCTCCTAGAAACCAACTACTTCAAGCGCCTTTCCTTCGTCCTTCAGCGTGAGCAGGCTCGGTCCGTGTGCCGTCGTTCCCAGATACGCCTCTCGGTCACCTCGGATCAGTTGGCTTCCGAGACAACTTTGCCCTCGGTTGCAGACTTTGCCCACCTTGGTCCGGACGGTTGAAAACCTTAGGCCTTTCCAATAGGTAGGTGTTTGCTTAGTTGAATACATTACATGATCCATGTACTGCTTGTACATATACTATACTGTAAATAAAGTGGTTTCCCGGTTTCCTAGTTTTCCGGTTTCCCGGTATCCCGGTATCCCGGTTTCCCGGTTTCCCAATTTCCCGGTTTCCCGGTTTCTCGGTTTCCCGGTTTCCCGGTATCCCGGTATTCCGGTATCCCGGTTTCCCGCTTTCCCGGTTTCCCGGTTTCCCGGTATCCCAGTATCGGGGTATCCCGGTTTCCCGGTTTCCCGGTATCCCGGTATCCCCGTATCCCGGTTTCCCGGTTTCCCGGTATCCCAGTTTCCGGGTTTCCCGGTTTCCCTATTTCCTGGTTTCCCGGTTTCCCGGTATCCTGGTATCCCGGTATCCCGGTATCCCGGTTTCCTTATTTCCTGGTTTCCCGGTATCCCGGTATCCCGGTATCCCGGTTTCCCGGTATCCCGGTATCCTGGTATCCCGGTATCCCGGTATCCCGGTTTCCTTATTTCCTGGTTTCCCGGTATCCCGGTATCCCGGTATCCCGGTATCCCCGTATCCCGGTATCCCGGTATCCCGGTATCCCAGTATCCCGGTATCCTGGTTTCCCGGTTTCCCGGTTTCCCGGTATCCCGGTATCCCGGTTTCCCGGTTTCCCGGTTTCCCGGTTTCCCGGTTTCCCGGTTTCCCGGTATCCCAGTATCCCGGTTTCCCGGTTTCCCGGTATCCCGGTATCCCTGTATCCCGGTATCCCGGTTTCCCGGTTTCCCGGTTTCCCGGTATCCCTGTATCCCTGTATCCCGGTATCCCGGTTCCCCGGTTTCCCGGTTTCCCGGTATCCCGGTATCCCGGTTTCCCGGTTTCCCGGTATCTCTGTTCACCCTTCACTCCCCTATCACCCCGAACCCTTGAAGCGTTTCCCTGTGTCCTTAAAGGTGATCTCCTTTCCTCCTTTCTGCCTGCCCTGCTGCCTCCCCTTCTGTCTGCTGTGCTGCCTCCCCTTGCTGCCTCCTTGCTGTCTACTGTGTTTCCCTGCTGCCTGCCCTGCTGCCCCCCTTTTCTTACTGTTGCCCTGCTGTGCCTTCCCTTCTGCCAAATCCCCGCTAATTCAGGTTCGGGACATGGCTCAGCATTTGAAGAATGACATGTACACCAAGTGAGTACCTCTGGTTGCTCTAAGTGCTTTCCAACCTTAAGATTTTCTGCTCTTCCGCTATTAGTGAGGACCCTCAGCATCTGAAGAATGACATGTAACACCAGGTGGTTGCCTCTTTGCTCTTGCCATAACGTCCCTTGTTCCATCCGAACTTCTTGGTCTTACCATCCGAACTGCTGGACTTACCCTCTTGTTCTGCCTCTTCCTCTTGTCCCTTTTTCTCTGCAGGTCGTTCAGGGCAGCAGTGCAGCTATTCTGGATAGCAGCAGCAATCCCACTGGCGCCTAATAAAAATGGCCAACAGGAGAGTCTTTTCTTCCTGACCCGCACTTCTTTCTGCTCTCTCCTTCTGCTCCCTTTTTCTCTGCAGGTCGTTCAGGGCAGCAGTGCAGCTATTCTGGATAGCAGGGCAACGACTCAACCCCTCTTCCACCCCTCTTCCTCCTCCTCTTCCTCCTGCTGCTGCTGCTGCTACTGCCGCCTCTGCTGCTACCCCTTCCCCGATTCCCACCATCATCCCTCCCAACCCTCCATCCGACCCCCTCGTCTCCCACCTGTTGCACTGCTGGGCCGTGCCGAGGAGGGGCAAGGGGGCGACAGCAAGGAGAGCGCGGGAGATGGTGGCATGGGAGCAGGCAGTCAGGTCGTCCCTTCGCCGCCTGCTGCTGCTGAACCATGGCTGCTGCACCGCCCGCTACTGCTCCCTCCCTAGCTGCTGCTCCTGCTCGTCCTGCTCCGCTCTTCCCTCTCCCGTTGCCGCCTCTCAACCATCTTCCACCGGTGTTTCTCACACCTCACACCTTCTGCACACCCCTCAAGCCTCACACCATCACTTACACTCAACCCCCTTTGTCCCATGGGACCTCCTCGCCTCTCTGCTCAACCTCGCCAAGCAAGCTGCCTCTCTTCCCTCCACTGCCGCTCCTTCTGCCAGCACCGCTGCTGCTACCACTGCAGCAGCAATTTTTGAGTCGACTCAAAAATCGACTCACTACACTCCTTCTGCCAGCACCGCTGCCGCTCCTTCTGCCAGCACCGCTGCTGCTCCTTCTGCCAGCACCGCTGCTGCTACCACTGCAGCAGCAAACGCCCCCACTATTACTTCTTCCCCCAAGCCATCTGCCAGCCTGTCCACCTCGCTCCACTCGCCCCTCGCCCTCCTCGTCTCTCTCCTGCTCTCAGAGCTCGTACCTTGCCGCTTCTCCCGCTCGGCTCTCTCCCTCTTGCTCCTCGAAGACTCACCTCTTCCCTCGTCTGCTGCAGCTGCCAAAAGCTCTGGCCAGCAGGAGCAGCAGCAGAATCGTGAGCAGCAGCAGCAGCAGGAGCAAGAAGGGCAATTGAGTGAAGAGGGTTCTATACGAAGCCTTTCAACCCAGCAGTTGCAAATCCTCTCCACCTGCCTCCGCCACATGCTCACTTCCTCACTCCCTACCAACCAGCAGCAGCAACTCAATCTCACCCCCCGGCGCACCACACTTCCCTCCCCCTCCTCCTCTCCTTCCTTCCTCCTCTCCCCTCTCCTCCCTCCCCCTGTCTTGTCCAAGCAACAAGGGTCAGAGTTGCAGGTTTGGCAGCAGGGCAAGCGGGAGCAACTAGGGACTGGACATCTGCAGCAGGGAGGGGAGGAGGGAGAGGAAGAGAGAGCAGAGGAGCAGATAAGAGGTGGTGGGAGGCGGTGGAGTCAGGTGCAGCGGGTGCAAGAGGGGTTGAGAAGGATGCAGCAGGAGTTGCAGCAGCGGCTGGCATTGTCTGCTATGGTCACTGCGGCCTTGTGTCACGGCGAGGGAAGAGGGAATGAGGCGGAAGGGACAGGGAGGATCCACGCAGCAGGTGGGGGGTTGACTTTTGAGTCGACTCAAAAGTCAACTCACGGCGAGGGAAGAGGGAATGAGTCGGAAAGGGCAGGGAGGATCCACGCAGCAGAGGGGGGGGTGACTTTTGAGTTGTCTCAAAAGTCAACTCACGGCGAGGGAAGAGGGAATGAGACGGAAAGGGCAGGGAGGAGCCACGCAGCAGAGGGGGGGGAGGCAGCAGGGAGGGGGGCAGCAACGGCACCCTCAACCACGGAGGCAGGGAGGAACAAAGCAGCAGAGGGGGAGGCAGCAGGGAGGGAGGCAGCCGGGGGAGAAGCAGCAGCAGGGGCTAACGAAGCAGTAAGGGGGTGCATGGAGCGGGCAGCAGGCAACTGGTGCCAGTGGGTGCTCTCTCAGACCACACACACTGCAACCACTGCTGCTGCTGCTGCTGCTGCTGCCGGGGGTGGTGATGCCAGTAGTGTAGGTTTGAAAACGGGCACACAGGCGCAGGCAAGAGCGACGGGAGCAACTGTCCTAGTGCATCCCCTTCTCAGGACCTGCGCGCTTACATTTGCACATCGGTAAGAAGCCCTTCTCTTTGATTGTATTATCAGAGAGCCCCAGTGTATTATCTGATTCAAAAGATGACTGCTTTTACAAGCTTTCTGCTTCACCGGATCCCTCGCTCCCCCTCACCTCACACCTCGCTTTTCCTCTTCCCCGTCTTCCCATCTCCTCCCCATTCCCTCACTCCAGGTCAGGACTTGCAACCCCAGCCACGATTCCCTCCCTTCCCCATGCCTCCCTCTGTCCCATCATGCTAAAGCCAATCAATGCCACCCAGCCAGCTTGGCATTGTTTGTCCTGTAGCCGCCGGATCTCCCCCGAAGGCATGCTCTGCCTGGACGCTTGCCGCCCGTTCTTCCTGCCCCCGGGCAGGCAAAACTTCTGGGTCCGGGCAGAGGCATGGGCGGAACGTTTAAAAGAAGCCTCTGGAATATCAGCTGAAGCAGCAGCTGAACCTGAAGCGGAGGTAACAGCAGCAGCAACAGCAACCACCACCATGCCTGTTTGCCCGTACTGTGCGGTGCAGACTGTTGCCCCCACCCCGCCTACCCTGCTGTCTCCCTTGCTTGTATAGCATGAAAACGTCCCGCTGCTTGTGCACGAGCAGGGAAGCTGATGGTACCGTAATAGCTCAGGAAGTCACAGCTGCAACGGCAGCAGCAACCACCACCATGCCTGTTTGCCCGTACTGTGTGGTGCAAGCTGTTGCTCCCACCCCACATACCCTGCTGTCTCCCTCGCTACTGTGACATAAAAACTTGTTTGTGCATGAGAGGGGAAGCTGATGGTAACAGAGAGGAAGTAACAGCAGCAGCAACAGTAACCACCACCATGCCTGTTTGCCCATACTGTGCGGTGCAAGCTTTGCTCCCACCCAGCCTACCCTGCTGTCTCCCTTGCTTGTGCTTGAGTGGGAAAGTTGATGTTAACAGATTATGGTAGGTAGGCTAGGCACACCTGCATTAGCAGTTTCCATACATGCATGTATGGCTGTGCCATGCGCTGCACTGCCCACCCCACATGCGGTACCCTGCTGTGTCCCTTGGTTGTTTGACATGAAATGAAAGCAGTCCCCTCCCCTGCTTGTATGAAGGAGAGGGCAAGTCCCCCAACTGTCGTTGACTCGTTAGCACAGTTCACTCCATGATGATCAATCAATTGGAAAACCGTAATGAAGTACAGTACTATCTACCCACCAGGCTACAACAATATGGTAGTTACCGCTTTTAGAGGATACGGTACGAGGCAAAATGTACATCCAGGCTGTTCATTCAGTAGTGAATCAGCCTAACAGACGCTAAGCTCTCAACCTAAGCAGATTCCACATGATCTACAAGACGCAAACGTCACCCCAGCATTGCATGCTTGATGAGGAGAGCTTGCAACATGCCTTACACCTGCCTCTCTTCCCCCTCCATTCTTTCCTTCGCTGCAAGGGCAGGCAGTCACACAGAGAGCAACTGAGGAGTCAGGTGTAAGCATGCAACCACAAGGAGAGTGCCAGGAGGAGACCAGAAATATATTCACTGACTGGACTGACATGCACGAGCAGCAACTGTGCAAGCACATGCAACCACGTGGCAGATCAGGCAGCTGGGGAAGCAAACGGTATGGTGTGAATGCAGTGTGCTGAAGAGAGACCATGAACTCACAAGGAGAGTGCCAGGAGACCGTGGAGCCGTGAGCAGCTCACTGATGCATGCCGTCAAGGCAGCTCACTGATGCATGCCGCCATGGCAGCTCACTGATGCATGCCGCCATGGCAGCTCACTGATGCATGCCGCCATGGCAGCTCACTGATGCATGCCGCCATGGCAGCTCACTGATGCATGCCGCCATGGCAGCTCACTGATGCATGCCGCCATGGCAGCTCACTGATGCATGCCGCCATGGCAGCTCACTGATGCATGCCGCCATGGCAGCTCACTGATGCATGCCGCCATGGCAGCTCACTGATGCATGCCGCCATGGCAGCTCACTGATGCATGCCGCCATGGCAGCTCACTGATGCATGCCGCCATGGCAGCTCACTGATGCATGCCGCCATGGCAGCTCACTGATGCATGCCGCCATGGCAGCTCACTGATGCATGCCGCCATGGCAGCTCACTGATGCATGCCGCCATGGCAGCTCACTGATGCATGCCGCCATGGCAGCTCACTGATGCATGCCGCCATGGCAGCTCACTGATGCATGCCGCCATGGCAGCTCACAGATGCATGCCGCCATGGCAGCTCACTGATGCATGCTGCCATGGCAGCTCACTGATGCATGCCGCCATGGCAGCTCACTGATGCATGCCGCCATGGCAGCTCACTGATGCATGCCGCCATGGCAGCTCACTGATGCATGCCGTCATGGCAGCTCACTGATGCATGCCGCCATGGCAGCTCACTGATGCATGCTGCCATGGCAGCTCACTGATGCATGCCGCCATGGCAGCTCACTGATGCATGCCGCCATGGCATCTCACTGATGCATGCCGCCATGGCAGCTCACTGATGCATGCCGCCATGGCAGCTCACTGATGCATGCCGCCATGGCAGCTCACTGATGCATGCCGCCATGGCAGCTCACTGATGCATGCCGCCAAGGCAGCTCACTGATGCATGCCGCCATGGCAGCTCACTGATGCATGCCGCCATGGCAGCTCACTGATGCATGCCGCCATGGCAGCTCACTGATGCATGCCGCCATGGCAGCTCACTGATGCATGCCGCCATGGCAGCTCACTGATGCATGCCGCCATGGCAGCTCACTGATGCATGCCGCCATGGCAGCTCACAGATGCATGCCGCCATGGCAGCTCACTGATGCATGCTGCCATGGCAGCTCACTGATGCATGCCGCCATGGCAGCTCACTGATGCATGCCGCCATGGCAGCTCACTGATGCATGCCACCATGGCAGCTCACTGATGCATGCCGCCATGGCAGCTCACTGATGCATGCCGCCATGGCAGCTCACTGATGCATGCTGCCATGGCAGCTCACTGATGCATGCCGCCATGGCAGCTCACTGATGCATGCCGCCATGGCAGCTCACTGATGCATGCCGCCATGGCAGCTCACTGATGCATGCCGCCATGGCAGCTCACTGATGCATGCCGCCATGGCAGCTCACTGATGCATGCCGCCATGGCAGCTCACTGATGCATACCGCCATGGCAAGTATAGCAGAAAAGGGAGAGACAGAGAAATCACTTCAGAGAAGAACCCAAACGGAAGCAGCAAACCGAAGGAGGTGAGGCAAGGCGCAGAGGCAAGAGGACAAGCAAAAGGTGCGGGGAAGGGGAGATGAGGGGGTGAGCGGGAGAGGGAATTGAGGAGAGCTTTGAGATGAGGGGTAGGGGCAGGGGGAATGAGGGATGGTTGGGCGGGGCAGGAGAGAGGGGAGAGAGGGGGGGGGGGTGGGGGGAGGAGGGTGGGGGAGGAGGGTGGGGGAGGATCTGGAGAGAGGTGGATGGGAATGAGGAGATGAAGCGTGAGCGGAGGGGGAATGTGGGTTGGTTGGGGGGAAGGGACTGGAGAGTGGTGATGGATGGGAAAAGGTAATGAGGAGTGTATGGGTGGGGTTGATGAGGGGTGAGCGGGGGAAAGGTGAGGAGAGGGCGGGGGGGATGAGGGATGGTCAGGACGTGGGAATAGGGGGAAGATGACGGGTGAGTGGGGGTACAGTGGGAGGGGAGGGAGAGGGGGGGAGTGGGGGATGGGGAAAGCCGGGGAGATGAGGAACGAGCACAGAAATTGAGGGGAGAGCGCTGAAGATGGGGGAAGAGCGGGGAAGATGAGGGGAGAGCGGGGAAGATGAGGGGAGAGCGGGGAAGATGAGGGGAGAGCGGGGAAGATGAGGGGAGAGCGGGGATTTGAGGGGAGAGAGGGGATGCGGCGAAAATGAGGGGAGAGTGGGGGAGAGAGGGGGGCGCGGGGATTTGAGTGGGGGGTGCGGGATGCGTGACGTTTCTAAGCAAAGTCGGGGGAACAAGGGGAAGGGGTGGGGAGGAGGACGAAAGCGTGGGAAGGGAAATGGGGAGAAATCAGGGGGAGGACACTCCGCTTCTACCTCTCGCCAGTCCTTTCCCCTTCCGCTCCCTTACTCCTCCCCCACTCCCTTATATAATCACCAGTTCATTCTCCCTCCCTGCGCTCCCTTACCCCTCCCCTTCCCACCCAGGATCCCTCTTTCCACTGTTACGCGCAACTGTCAGGCTAATGCGCCTTAGATCGTGTCATGTGTTCGCATGCGCCATATATCGGGTCAAGGAAGCGTTACGAATGTGCCCGCGAATCGACGATAATGTTCCAAACGCAGATAAATACAGGAGTTCAAAATTCGTCAGATCTTAGCAGTACAGGCAAACGACAAACACGTATACTGTTGCAGATCTGGAGAGAGAGGCTAACAGTACCTTCGACGCTAGCAGCACCGCACTAAATGTGTGAAGCGGCGAACGCTGAAGTAGGACTGAAGCGCGATCGAGACTAGCCACGGTACTGAGATATAACTAGTTAGGGTAAGAATATTAAAAACTCCATGTGAAAAATAACTACCGCTTTTGCCTCCAGAAATCAGTAAGCGAGGGTAGCGAGATGTACGTGATGGTTCGCTGCTTTGATCTAACAGAACGGAGCTACCTAGTAGAACAAAATGCTTTGGTGGTTGAGCCAGGGTGACGGAAACTTTCTGTCCGTGCTGCCGTGGAAACACCCTTCACATCTATTGGTTCGCGAGAATTCCTTCAACATCAATTTGTATTTTCAGCTGCCCATTTGAGGTTCGGAGAGCCAAAACAGTTGCGATTTTTTCGCGCCACGCAGGAATTTGCTAACTATCCATCCGCCGTCCCGCACCTTAAGCCAAAATCACGCAAGGACTCTAATTATTTAGAAAAGCGCCACGTCCAGCACCTACTAGAAAGTTCAAGCCTGCCCTAGCCCATACTTCTCCAAGATCCACAATGGTCTCAACATCTCCCACACAGGTACGCGCCCTCAGCAGACTCGTTTGCAGAAAGAGCAACACAAACCAGAAATTCAAAATCAGCCAATAGTGTATCTCCAGGCCGTTCCACTTCTACAGTTTAAAGCCCAAGTCCTAAATTGCGGACCGCGTGGGTCAAGTTTTTAAAACTTGACGAAGTTGAGTGTCCAAGCTTTTGAAAGTCACGCACCTGCAATTTGGGACTTTCGAAGACAGATTCACTCACCAGGGGGAAAACCGAGGGTTGGCTGGGTCTCGCGAAAAAAACGAGCCTAGA